ATGAGTGTTCAAACAGCGGATAAAAAACATTTGTTTAGTGCTTTTTTTTAAATTATTGTTTCACTTTTACACTTGTAAACACCTGATCTGTGCATAATTCTCTCCTGATTCAGACAAGATGACTTTTTCATTGGAGGAAGCAATATTATAGATAGAGGACTCATATTTTAACAACTGTTTAAAATTAAAAATATTTTAATGATGCATTTGCTTCTTGCAAACACGCAGATCTTTGCTTCACAAAACATGAACTGATGAACTGGAGTGGTGTGGATTACTTGTGGATTATTGTGATGTTTTTTCAGCTGTTGGGACTATCATTCTGACGGCACCCATTCACTGCAGAGGATCCATTGGTGAGCAAATTATGTAATGCTACATTTCTCCAAATCTGTTCTGATGAAGAAACAAAGTAAAGAACACTAAACTAAAACTCATCCTGGTGCACTTATGGTCTTGAAAACACATGTAATACTAAATAAAACGGCAACATCCTTTGTGGACACCATTCGGAAGTAAATTTGCCCTCTGGTGAACTCTAATCTTCAGGACACATGGCAGGTGTGACCTGTGTCATGGTGCTTGAAGTCTTCATGACAGTAGGCAAACACCTCACTGGGAAAGATTGATGCTTCCTGCTCCATCGCATTCAGCAGCACAGCAATAATGACTAATGCATCCGGAGACATGGATGCTTGATTGAGGTCTGTTCTGCAGTCAAGGTCAGTTTGAGATTGATCAACTGCACCTGGAGTAGAGGAAACTATGGAGGGAGAAAACAGGGCACGTTTTAACCTTCTCACCCTCAGGGCTTCATGTCATGAAAACCATCTTGGACAAAGATTTAAAGTTCTGTGTGGCCCAATCACATCCCATTACCCTGGACAATGACTATAGGAAAGATAAAATACTTGTTAATAATATTTGTAATATTGTTATAATATTTGTAATATCAAATATTGTTGTTAATAAGCATTTGTTCACTTCATTCAGTAAAATGATGCAACAACATTCATAATGAAGAAAAAAAAACGTCAGTAAAAGAATTCAGTCCTAAAAATTCTTATATTTTTTTTCTTATTAGGCCTAAAAATATTTTTACAAAACTGCTTCACTCCTTATTCATATTTAAAAATCCCTTGTCCATATCAAAGTCGTGATGTGTGACCAACTCAATTGGCGCAATCAAGATTTAATAATCAATTAAATATTTAATAATCAATAATTCATGATACACACACACACACACACACACACACACACACAAAAGTACAATTCTTTTCAAGTTTTACCTATTTATTATCTATCTTTCACCTATTTCCTATCTTTATCATTACCTAGTCCAATATTTCTTTATGATCAGGACCTTCATGTGAATTTAATTTATTATGTGAGGACAAGAAAGACATCAAACTAGCACAACTATGTAGGAAACAGGTTGCCTGGGAAAACAGTCAGTTATAAACTGTAGCTGTCATCAGACATAAATAGTACTTTGCAGTATCTGAATCAAGAGCTGCATTATCACCACAATAATCCACAAGTAATCCACATAACTCCAGATCAGTTGGCATCTTGTGAAGTGAAAAGCTGCATGTTTGTAAGAAACAAATCCATAATTATGGACTGGCATTTTGATAAACATTTTTAACTTCAAACCACTGCTTATGACTAAAATACGAGTCCTCTATCCATAATATTGATTTCTCCAGTCAAAGTCATCTCAACAACAAACGAATACAGTCTAAAACAAATATGTCTGTGGATTTTGATTTGTGAGGACAACAGCGAATGGACTTTTTCACTGGAGGAAGCAGCTTTTCTGATGGACTGGAGTCGTGTGGATTATTTGTATATTATTGTGATGTTTTTATCAGCTGTTTGAACTCTCATTCTGACGGCACCCATTCACTGGTGAGCAATTGACATAATGCTAAATTTTTCCAAATCTGTTACAGATACAAACTCATCTACATATAGGATTGGAGGGTGAGAACATTTTCTGTACATTTTTGGTTGAACTGTTCTTTTAAGCTAAAGGAAAGTGAGAAATGTTGCCTTTTAGTTAACAATATTAACCTTGATGTGTATAAACAGGATAGTATGGAGGTCTGCCCAAGTGCTTTTGGGACTCATCTATTACAGGTTGTACCACTCATCCATCAGCCTTGCACCATTCACTCCTGTCGTTTATAAACCTTTAACCAAGTCTGGATTCCTGTTGAGCACCATCCCATCAACCAGCCTGCCACCATTCCATATACATCCCATATGAAATGCTCAAATGTTCACCTAGAGGCCTTGACTAAATCTTCTGTGACTGTATCTCTCCTGCTCCCACTCTCAGGACGTCTGCTCATCTCATCAAGACGGCAGGGCAGTTTATTTTAACCGTTTTCATCGTGCACCAAACCCAGGACTCTGACAGAGTGAATAAACATTAGGATCAACAGACAGATACATATTTCCTTTTAGTGACATTTGAAGTCAAAGATCATAAATTTGTTTCTTCATAAATTTTGGAATATATTTCTTGGGTGTAATGATCTGTGAATTGATGATATGTATGTAAGCCATTGCTTCTTTTACTTTATAAGCATGTTCATTCCATCATAAGGAGAGATGTTAGAGGTTAAACGGGACAAATGGAAAGCCAAAGTCTGAGAGCACAGCTTTATAACCCACCTGAATTATGAACTGAAGTGTCCCATAGGCACATTAAATTAACCTGAAGGTCAAAGGTCACAGCAAAGTAAGACAGTTGAGTCTTTTTAAACAGGGAAGGTTAAGAAATATCCTGCTATTTCTTAGAAATAGATTACTGTACAGTTCCACATGCTTTTTCTTTTGTTAAAAATATTGCTGTTTCGATTCGAATAGCAAACATCTTGAGCCCAGTGACTTGGAATATTCTGAGTGGAATATGCAAAGTCATGCTTGGCTTTCTCACTGTTTATATGCTGATATTTCTCATCAGTTTTCCATATCCTTCAATGCCTCACAGGAATCTGAAAATAAAACAATTGACAAAAGTCTTAGGGAATCAGTATATACACAGATCATTTGCACACTCAACCTGTTGTCCAGCTAAAATAGACCAGATCAGATTTGTGCTCAAAAGACACATGCAAAAGAAATTTCACTTTTATGTCTGTAAATGCATCCTTGCAGGGGAATTAAGTGCTAAAAGTGTGCACCTTGGACAAGGGCCTTTTTGGGGACACATCACCTTATCTTTTTTCACTTTGCGAAGCACCTTTTATCCCCATGCGAAACATTTCTCAAGGTTGCCTGTTTTACAGATCATTCCTCCTGTAGCTCGCGAGACACATTCCGGGCCTGCTTACAAAACCATTTCTCCTCTAAAGAGCTGCATCACTCTGCATTTTTTTCTTATTCCTGTGACAGGATGATCTGAATTTATTGCTACAAATGTTCCATAAATCTTCTCAAGTCCTTGGTTATTTTTAATGTTTGTTTAATCAATCAATCAGGGAATTAAAAAAAAATAAACAACCTAAGTGTATATAACATATTTTGTGATCTATCTATCTATCGTATTCAAATGTTATTCAAATGTTTGGGGTTGGTACATTTTTTTTTCTTCATGTTTTTTTTTTTTAAGGGGTCATATGATGCTTTTTTAAAGATCATTATTTTGTGTATTTGGTGTAACAGAATATGTTGACATGCTTTAATGTCATTAAATGTCATGACATTATTTTTCAAATACTGTACATTATTGTATTGTATCATATCCTCTATGCCCCGCCTCTCTCAAACGCTTCGTTTTCTACAAAGTCCCTCCTTCCGACAAGCGCAGTCTGCTCTGATTGGCCAGCTGACCCAGTGCATTGTGATTGGCCGAACACCGCAAGCACTCGTCGGAAATGTAACGCCCCTTACCATAATCGCGAGCTTCATCTTTCAAAATAAATGTAAAGACAGAGCCGAAAGGGGAACAGAGTCGCGTGACAAACACAGTAATGATGCAGTACACAAGCCACGGTTAAGACAGCTGACTCCACTGTGATGTGACCCTCTCTCTCTCTCTCTCTCACACACACACACACACGATGCGCAAAACTCCGCATTTGAACAGTCAATAGCAAATACTTAAACTAATAACAAAACAGTAGCTGATTCAGAAGCGCCAGATTGTCATAGCAAAGTCAGAATTACCTCCTCTCCTAGGTTCACGAAACGGTCGTCCATAAAATGCATTGCTGTTCTGTTGTAAGTAATCTTAAAGATTCCTAAATGCATCTACTTCCGGAAGGCCAAATAAAGTGCTTTTGCTTTCGCCTAGAAACACACAGCATCTCCCTGACATGCTGCTTCAACACTAACTGCGGTTACTGAAACCACGCCTTCTTTCTTTGCGTGCACATTTGGGCCGCACTATGCTAATATTTCCACATAGTGAGGTAGATATGTGGGGGCGTGTTAGAACGAGCCGTTTTAGGGGGGTGTGGCAGAGTCTTAATTCCCATACGTTCACCAAGGCTGCATTTATTTGACCACAAAAATATAAAAATGTTATACATTGATGTTATAACATAATTTATTCCTGTGATGGCAAAGCTGAATTTTCAGCTCCTGTCTTCAGAACTCATTCTAGTCATCTAATCAGAATTACTGTAATGACTCACTAGATTAGTAATCACTCTATGAATATAGCTGGGCTGCTTGAGATGATGATGAATGTGATGATGATCATGAATTTTGTATATTTTACCATTTTACTGGATGAAGATAAGTTTGTTTTTATTATTATTAGATGACGATTTGTTGATGGATTAGATCATTTTTTATTAGGCTACAGTAAATGATGGTGGTGATGATTTTTATACTATTTGTTGTATTAGATGTCGATGATTTTTCATTACATTTTGTTTACTTTTTTCTTTCTTTTTTTACTTGATGTTTTAATATTATAATAGAAAATGAAGATGGTGATGATGACGGTAATGATGATGTGTCTGCAGGAAACAGTATCCGTCCAGCTGTTGTGACTTCCGCTTCAGAGCCGAGCGAGAGACATCATTCAGGACGCGTCAGGTTCGGATCAGACATAGTCAGCGGGACTATAAACGCGGTTCTTCCAAACGGGAATCGACAAAAGCAAGCTCTCAGAGGTAGACTGGCCAGAGACGTGGCTCTTGAGGCCTGTGTAGCGGTCAGTGATGTAGCCAGAGGTGTTAGCAGTCATGCTAGCTGTCATTCCATCTGTTTTCACTTCAGCGTCTCCATTCCTTCACAAATCTTCATGTAAACACGATTATTTGATTTCATGCTTGTTGTTTTTCCCAAAACCATGTCTTATCATTTGTTTCGATCTTTTAGCGTCCTGTAGGGTCAGTATGTTTATGTGGTTGTTGTTTTGACTAGCATGAAGCTCTTTTTAGCAGGTGCTGGACAGGAACATCAGATGTTTTATTAGAAATTATCGGTAATATGCAGTCAGTCGAGTGCTTCAGTGAAAACTATTATATTTAAGAATTGTTTGGTTTAATAATATTAATAACTGTCATCATCCTGAAGCCCATATACACGTTATAGCGCGATAACTTGCATTTCTAACGAATGAATGAATAAACAAATGAAGTAATTGTTTTTTTTTTCAGTCTCATATTGTTCTCATAATTCTCATAAGTGAGTGAGTGTTGAGTCTATCAGTTTCAGTTTCATTGTTTCGTCTCTTCTCAGTGATTACGTTAGTGTCATTGGTTTAGACTCGGATATTCAAACAGTCTTTGATTAATCCGCAATTGCTGATGGTCTTGTTTCCTGAATGATGTAAGTCCTGTCATGTGTTAGTGATCTCAGTGTTTCTTTCAGCCGTTCCCTGACCTGTGTGTTTCTAAATCGTGATGGAGAGAACACTGGAATGATGTCTAACCTGTTAGTATTGTTTGTGAGCTGTCCATTGAAGCTGTTCCGTAACAACGTGAGGCATGTGAGGGTTTAATCAGTGTGATCACTTGTGAAGTCTGTAAACATTCTGCTATCAGAATGCTCATTGTGGGTTTGGTGGTTTGCATTGGAAACAGCAGGGCCAGATTTCTGCTTTCAGTTTTCTTTACAATCATCCCAGTCCCAACTCTGTTTCATACACCTGAAAATGGTCTCCCATCCATCCATCCATCTGTCCAACCATTGCACTGTTGCAGATTTTTTTTTTAAAATTCTGTTCATTTCCATATTGTTTTAATTGCACACACACACACACACACATTTACATGTATTTACGTGTTTTAATAGTTAATATATAAACGTAACATATTTTTCTTAAATGTATACATGCATGTAGGGGTGTGCGATATTGACAAAAAATAATATCTCGATATGGATTTTATCGATAATGAAAATTAGACTATTTTGCTGAGTGTGTTATTGTGCTGATATCTTAAAGACTGCCATGGACAGCTGACTCCTAAAGTTTTTGATGTTCTTCATATTCTGTGTGGTGGTCAGTTCATACTGATAGAAATGTATCTTTTCCAATAAGTTTAAACTGATTTTTAAATTTTATGGGCATTTTTACCTTTATAAAGCCATTTTTTTTCTAAAATTGTCCATTATCTTTTAAGTCAAATTCTTACATTTAATCAGTGAATTAGAATAATAAGACATTTGGGCTGTTACCAAGCAAATGAAATCAACTCAGAAGCTGCATCAGAAATGGCATTTATTTAGATGTATTTACACACTGTTTAATGCAAGACATGAATGCATTTAACCTGCAATTACAAATGCATAAATAACGTTTTGATATATTAAACATATAACGTTGAATACTGATATTTGAAATTATTTAAAATATGAAAAAAATGCCGAAATGTGAAATTAAAACCGCCAGTAGGTGGCAGCAAGTCACTGTTAATAAGCGGTTGCGATTGAACTGAACAGAATCATTTAAACGGTTGATTCATTCAGGAAAGAAACACCGTCATGTTGCTCAGAGATGCGAAACAGCGCTGTGGCTGTGTTTGGAATGATTTTTGTTCCCGAAATTGAGCAAAAACAGGCAATATGGTGTCTAAAACGTAAGTCTCTTAATTAACTTATTGACTCAATATCACATTTGTAATCATGGTGATTTTTGGAGAAAAAACGGCACTCTTCGTGTGAAATTGATTAACTATATGAAATGGTATAAATATAAATTTTCTGCCCCCATGTCTTCATTGTGATCATTCTAAATGCATTTTAATAGACTGAATCATGCAGTGAAAGAACACACTCTAAATGCGCACACACATTAGTCTACACTAGTCAACATTTGAAGTGGATCAAAACCTTTCATCAAAGTTGTCCTAAAGCCAAAATGCGTTCTTGTCCTAGTACAACTTTGATAAACTTTTTTGATCCACTTCAAATGTTGACTACTATAGACTTCACGTAATGTACGCGTGCACTCTGTAGTGGTGTTTTGAATGATTTTTGCAAAATACTCGATAATGTCAAATCGCACCGTTAAAACAACAATTACGATATTATCGCAGACGATATATATCGCACACCCCCTACATGCATGTATGTGTATTTATATATACATAATAAATATACACGGTACACACACATATATTATGTAAACAAAAACTTTTATTTTGGATGCGATTAATCGCGATTAATCGTTTGACAGCACTAAACTTAAATTTAAAAAGTAAATATATCAGAGTGGTCTCAATGGATGATGGTTAGATTCTCTCTCTGTCTTGGCATTATTTGTTTACCTTTTCATGCTCTTTCTCTCAAATCCCATGTGTCCTTCTCTTCCCTCCCTCTCGTTCCCTGTCCCCAGCCCCTCTTTCCCCCCCTCCTGCTTTCTGGAAAAGCTCTGCCGTGCTCCTGGATAAAGGAGAAGCCTTTTTCCGACAGCTCTTCCAGCAAGAGAAGCAGAGAGCAGTCTCAGAGAGAGGACAGTGGACTCAATGGTACTAGACATGGAGATTGGATTGAGTGTGTTGTGCATCGGGTAGAGGAAGGAAGCAGCTTTGTTTTGCCTGTTAACGAAGAGAATAGATCATATTTCTTAAGAATAGCAAGAATTCATGAATGAGTTTTATGTTTTTTTTTTTTTTAAATAGAGGCACATCTGTTCAGGAGATCATCTATTATTTACAGGATTATGGATTATTAGCAGTGTTATGGAGTAATTCACAAAAACTAGTGAAAATGCAACATTTAACTACAACCCAATAACATTTTCAGTAGTGTGACAGTAAAATCGTGTAGCTTTTCTGGTAACAAGCTAGTATTTCCTAATCAGAGTAGTGTTACAACACTGCATCAGTGTATTATGTCACATTGTAATGTGCATTAGTCATATGCACTCTAGAATGCCCTAGTTTGAATGAGTCCTAAAACCGGGAAATGAGTTCCAGTTCCACTGTCCCAAAGTCAAGTTTTTTTGTTTTTTTTTATGGGTTTTTGGTGAAACACCTTATATAAGGTCTGTGTTGTACAAAAGATCAAGATATTTTCACTTTTTATTCTACAACATATATCCTAATGTTTATACCCTAATGTTAGTTTTTACTTCTACCGATTGTATTTAAGCTTAGAAATTCATAAACATTGTGTTCATTTGTGAAGATGAGAAGATCTTGATTAACAAAACATATAAGAATTATAAACATTTGTTGGTTACAGAGCATATTTATTTGCAGTGAATCAAAAGCCAGGGGAAAATGGCCAACGGCTTTTTGTCAAGGGAAACAGGGTGATGCTTAATTTCGAGTTGGCCTACAAAAATCTGTCATCAATGCACCGCTCTATAGTTTTCCTAGAAGTCCCTGTGCAGTCTTTTTCGCAGCACATAAGTATTTAAGTGAATATTGCTGTTATTATTATGGTTTTGTTTAAATGACATAGGCTAACTATAGAATTTGGCAAGCTACAATTTCAAAATGCCTTTTATGATCAATGTGAGAGTGTCAATCAGAAGGTCTGTATGAGGACCTGTCATTGTAATTTCATTGGTAAGGTTTAAGCTTATATGTCTGGTAGTTTCAAGATGAAAACCTGCTGTGACTTCAAAGCTAAAGGCAACAGGTTTGTAAAAGAACGACCAAATGGTTTAACCATAAATGAACTGCTGTGTGAATTTAAAGCAAATACACACTGAGAAAAGTTATGACTTTCACATCAATTGCTGGAGCTTGTCTTAAACTGCTCCGTTTGATGTTTGCAAGCAGCACATTTCAATCGGTGTGGCTAGATTGATCCCCATGACCAAACGAGTTAAATATTACGGGGTGGTCTCTCCCCAAGTCTGAATTACGACTGGATTTACTTAAAAGTAGTGCAGCTTTTATGGCCCAGAATTCAGTCTAATGAACCGACCAACAGACAGCTCAGATATATGGCCATTATAATTGAGCTTTCTCTTAAGTCACAGTCTGGTCTAAATTAACACATAAAGAACAGATAGTTCCAGCTCTAAAATCTGATTGGATCTCTTAGCTGCTAAATGCACATCTGTGACAGTTGAATTCTGTAGTAATTCCCAGATTGCTATGGTGCTTAGCAAAAGTCAACCAAACCCATCCTACTTTTAAGCTAATGAACTATATTACATGGGCTAAAATATTATTTGGGATGAAATTATTTTATCATGTGTGAAGAAAGAGTCAGTGGAGTGACTCAAGATTTATAAACCTAGTCAATCACTGCTATGTTTCCTGTGTTTGCCTGCAGAGGGAGCCAGAGAGGGAGGAGCAGCTCGATCCCAGCATGCCCCCTAAATTTAAACGGCATCTGAATGATGAAGAGGTCACTGGTTCCATTCGCAGTGAGCGGGTAAGAGGCAACAGTGAGTCAGTTCTTACCATATAGATTACCTGGAGGTAATGACAACATGGAGATGAGAGGTCTAAAGATGCTCTTAGCTGACTAGAGCCAGACTTGCATATTTCTGCACTTTTACAACCCCATTGTGCTCCATGATCTGTTTAGGTTGTTTACTGGAAGAGTAAACAGCTCTCTCCTCATGTTCCTCAGTGTCTGCAGACCACAAACAAGTCTCCTTTATATAACAGCCCATCTAAAACAGCAGTGTTCATGCTATTACACACAATCACACTCCACATTTCAACTCTGTGTTGTACAACCCTTCAGAGTTTGTTTTTAACAACGACAAGCAGTTACCACGTCATAATAGCAGTGGATAAACTGAGGTGGAAAAGAAATTAAACAGATGGAGAGAAAAATATACAGAAAAAACTCAAATAAAATAGAACATGATTTTGCAGAAATAAACAGAAATAATATGTAAACTAGATCCTTTAAATGAAAAAAATAGTGTTTTTGGCCCATTCATAAGTCACTTCTGCAATGCTAGGGTTTTGAGCATGGTGGGGTCTCTCCTTCATTTTAAGATAATGGTAATTTTATTGGTAAAAAATGGTAAAAGATAATTTTTTTGGCTGTTTTACTGTCCATTGGGTAAAATCTTTTTTTTTTTTTTTTTTTTCAAAAAATGTATACTTCTACTTACCAAGGATGCATTCAGTTGATCAAAAGTGAAAGTAAATACATTTATAATGTTCATTTCAAACATTTCTATTTCAAAGTAAATACTGTTCATTTAAACTTTCTATTCATTAAAGAATCCTGCAAAAATGTATTAAGGTTTTAAGTTAAAAAATATTAAGCATTACAACTTTCTGAAGGATCATGTGACACTGAAGACTGGAGTAATGATGCTGAAAATTCAGCTTTGCATCACAGGAATAAATTACATTTTAGATTACATTGAATCAGAAAACAGTTCATTTAATTGTAATAATATTTCACAATATTACTATTTTTTAATCAAATAAATGCAGTTGGTGAGCATATGAGACTTCTTTTAAAAACTTCTGAATGGTAGTGTAAGTCAAATTGCCATAACAAGCACCACTAACAATAAATCTATTTCTGTCATGACAACTCTCGGAGGGATTGTGCTACGGCAAGCACTAGTCATATATTTGAATGTTGAGCAGCGAGCTCAGTGGCTACCGATACAGGAGAGAACCAATCAGCTGTGCCATGTGATAATGATGTCATTAGGTCAAATTGAGTTAGACCTATCGGACTGCGCCATCTAGAGTTTCATGCCAGAACTCTGTATATTTGATTAACAAAATCAGGAACTGAATGGAAAATAACAGAAAAGATTATTTGAAAGTGAAGAGTAATGTCATGATGTAACAGGCATTAGCTCAGGCAGGGGGTAATAAACTAGCAGAGCCCTTCCCAAGAACCTGTCAGTACCGATTTCATAAGTAACATTCAACGTCTCCATCTTCTGCCAGTATTAGGGAGTCGTTTAAAAACTATTTAAAAACCCTGCCAGACCTTACAGTCAAAAGCCTGTAAGTCAATGCCAGGATATGATAACTTTGTGTATTTCACTTGGGTACAACTCCCGACTGATATATGTTTGGGAGAATCCATTGGATGGTTCAGACTTTAGCACATCCAAAGAAAAGTCTCTTCTAATTTGCCTCACATTGAAGCTTGAACTCAGCAACAGTGAGAAAACAAGAATGTGTAATAGAGTGAAGATGAATGTGGCTTTCCACGTGCCGGTTATGTAACACTGTTGACCGTGACCCAAGGAAGGACCTGGTTCTTGTGTTTAAATATCCCCTTAGTAAAGGGCCAATTGGAAGTGAGGAGTTGCAGGGTTACTTGCAGTCACAACATGAAATCTAAAGTCAGGAACTCATTTCCTTTATACTGAATCATTTATATGAACTTTCCTAAAACCCAGAAGATAGAGTCCAGACCCAAAAATGTCAGTTCCTAAAACAGCAGCTTATATATGACGATAAGAATCAATACTAAAATGCTTTAAAACCACCAGACTTTGCACTCTGAGACATTGGTAAATCTCATGAATTACCCCTAGATATTGGGCAGCAAAATGAAATGGTAGCCTAAATGTTCATCATAATTCAGTTTGTTGTTTTTTTAAACATATTGTATGCATAGAAAAAAATATGTCTATATAGTCTGTCACAAATCAGTCTTTTTTAATCAGTTTTTAAATAAATCTGACTCTTTGTAATAAATCAGTAGTTGAACTGAATCTGTTGGACAGTATATTTTAGATGTAAAAATTTTTTACTTCTTTACTTTTTAAAGCACATTCCCTTCCAAAACATTGGCTATAAATGCATTTTAGCTTTAAGATGGTCACAGTTGACATCAGTAATGATTCGTGATTCTCATTGCCATTCGACCAAGTAACTTATGAACTGATGTAACATCATCCACAAACATCACAAGACTCATTGATTGTTGGAGTTGTTAAAAACAATGATTTCCTTAAATGTATATCTTTTTAATACATTAAAATGCTCAATTTATTTGAGCGTTCTTTATTCTTTTGCTAAACATTTCATTTTTCTGTGGTAAGGTTGACATTAGCATGGAATTGTCCAGATGGAATTTTAGAGGAGTGTCACAGGTCTGGATGCAGTTATGGAGAGTTATACAACATTAGTCATCGAGATGTTGAAATGATCTAGTGAGGTATTTGTTAAATGTGATCAATCATGGACGTTACAACGAAACTAATGGAAGGTCAACTAGATGCCTCCTGATCTGTGATTCATTGCTCAAAAGATCAGATGGCACAAATGCTGACCAAATGGAGTTCATATCTCTCGTGCATCAGCAGTGTCTCCTTGTAGGTGTTTGTGTTCTGAACGGGTTTATCTCCAGGTGAATTCCGTTCCGGGAATACTGCGTCGCACGCTGTGCCCACATTGTGCCCTTCAAAGGGTTCTGTTGTCCTTCACGTCTGGCAGACGACTGTATACTTCACTATAAGATCTTTATGAGTCTCAGTCTGGTCACTCTTATGTCAAACACCTGGTCTCAGTTCAGATGGAATTTTAGATTAAACCCAGCCTGCACCAGCTCTGACCACCCTGACACTCTCATCTTCTTAACTTGCAGAGGAACCTTCTAGAAGAAGACTCGGATGAAGAGGAGGACTTTTTCCTGTGAGTCTGTAGTTTGCATAATCATCCATGCATTGACAAATAAACAGGTCTTTAAGCAGCAATTTTTGTTTGCACGCAATTTTCTCAGCAAAGATGTTTATGACAGTTTGTTTGGTTACTAACATTTTAAAAATATATATATAATTGTTTTTGTTTTTTTGCAGGAGAGGCCCAACAGGACCAAGATTTGGAGGCCAAAATGACAAAATTAGAAAGTTTGTAGGACTATTTTTTTCAGCTGGCCCAATTTTTTACTTGCTTTGCCAACATCTTCATTTTTAGCATCAAATATTTTTAGTCATGTATTTTATATTTACTAGAAATATTTACATTAACAGTAAATAATGTTTAGCAGTAGTTTTCTCTTTACACTTTTTTTCTTTTTTACAAAAGAAATCACAATCTACATATATCCATAAAGCTGTTGTCAGTGTTGCAGTTGAGATTTGAGCTTGAGTCAAGGCAAAGGCCAGAGATGGTTGAGTCTGAGTCAAGACCAAGACGAGTAGAGGGTCGAGTCTGAGTCAAGAGCGAGACCAAACGAGGGTTGAGTCCAGGTCAAGACTGAGACCAGTAGAGGGTTGAGTCCATAGGCGCTTTCACACCAGAGGAACCTTTTCATAGTGCCTAGATCCATTGGCAGTAGTTCCTGCTTTTTAAGAAGGATCTGGGATCTAGGAGCGGTTGTAGTTCTAGGAACTCCATTTCGAGGAATTAAATTAGCTCTTACGTCAGAATAGTGTCTTAAACAGTTCTATAGGAACTACCAGTGACATACATGTACACTGATTGGTCAAACGCCTACTAAAATTAAAAAGCTGTGTAAAAATATTTATTCCAAGAACATGGAAAACAGCGATAATGGCATTTACCTGTTGTCTGCAGCGTTTTGTTCTTTTCTCAGCATCAATGATATGTAAGTTGTCATAGGAGATTTAGTCAAGATTTATATTCTCTTTCAATCGCATACATTGTGCGTAAATTCTCCATTATCACGTGATCAGAGTTGTTTTTGTTGTGTGTCTTGGGTTTCGTCATTCTCCATTCACCGGTTGTTCATGTTTGTAAATGCCACGAATAAAGATGTCGCTGACGGCCTCTTCAGAGTTCCTGCTGCCAGTGTAAATGCAACCTGGAAAATGGCCCAAGGGAGAAATTGGTTCTCTAGGAACCACCATGCTGGCTAGTTCCTAGAACTAAGTTCCTAAAACTACACGGTGCGAAAGCGCCTTATGTCAAGAGTGAGACAAGTATTGGGTTGAGTCAATACTTGACTCCAAGTCAAGACTGAGACCAGAAGAGGGTCCAGTCCAGGCCAAGACCAGTAGAGGGTCAAGTTCGAGTCAAAACTGAGACTAGAAGAAGGTTGAGTCCATGTCAAGACCGAGACCAGTAGAGGGTCGAGTCCAAGTCAAGACTGAGACCAGTAGAGGGTCGAGTCCAAGTCAAGACTGAGACCAGTAGAGGGTCGAGTTCAAGTCAAGACTGAGACCAGAAGAGGATCAAGTCCAGGTCAAGACATCCATGTCAAGACTGAGACCAGTAGAGGGTCAAGTTCGAGTCAAAACTGTTGTTTTGCAGTTTTGAGGTATCGTTATCTTAGGGTTAGGGGTTATTTTCAGAATTGAACAATTAGGGATTTCCAAATACTAGGATGGGCTCAGTTCAGAAATGTGGAGACAGATCATTTCCATTGGCAGTGTGTTGTGGAAATCACAGTTATTGACTGCGCAGGCACTGCCCACGCCATTGTCTCTTGCAGAGTTTATGTAACTCCTTATAATGACATCTGTGAAAACACCCACCCACAAACATACCTCCCGTCCGAAAAGAAGGGAAGCACTATAACCATCTGGGTTTCTATGACACAACATAATATTTGCAGGCAAAAGTAAACAGCTACTCCCAATATTCAAAAATCTCTGTACTGACGTAGCTGTAGTAGCCAGACTGTGAGCCTTTCTTTGTTCTTTGTTATGGAATTTGGTACATACTAATATACTGCAGTAATTCTCCCAAGGGAAACCCAGGAGAGCTTCGCCCAGTGCAAGCAGCCACACGACACCAGGTTTACGTAACCATGCGCTGCACAGCGAAGTAACACATAAAACAATGGAATTTAATAGGGAACTCTTGGAAAGTGAAATTTCCATAATCTTTTCTTTTTTGCCTGTCCATGGAAGTCTTTTATTCTTGAGGTTACCTCATTCGTATCTGTGGGGTTTTAAAGTTGAAGGTGAACCACACATGGCAGGCATCCTCCCAGGTGCAAGGGATGTGCGAGGTCCTGCAAGATTGGTCGTTTGGCGCAGATCATGGTGTGTTGTCCTAGGCTGGTATCCAAGCACAGAGTCGAGAGTCAAAACATCCTGTCCTCAGTTCATTCACAGGGTAACCTGCATCTCAAAGCCATGCCAACCCCTTGTGCCAGGTGTATGAGAGCAGCTAAATACCTCACTAGCTATTTAGTGCGTCCTTTGCATGTCACGACTATGAGATCAAATAGTTCAAACTATTTGGATGTGTCTAGACCACGTCTAGCGAAACGTTCTCACCTCCCCTCAACATTGCAGGGTCAACAGATCGTAGTCATAATGATATCTTGGTTAATCCCGAGCGGTTCTCTTAGAAATATTAGAATCACAGACTCAAACATGTGCTCCTAAGCTGTAAAAATGTTCTGCTGAATCAATGGCAACACCAGATTGTTCCTCTCATGTTGTCTTCTCTGTCTCGATGGCCCTTCAGGGTGCAGTCTCAGGTTGATGAGGTCATTGACGTCATGCAGGAGAACATCTCCAAAGTGATCGAACGCGGGGAACGGTTGGATGAGCTGCAGGATAAATCTGGTAAGATGGACATGGACAGATCACTATGAATCCTTAAGCACTTTGTGATTTGGTTGGATTCATAGGAATCAAGACAGAAATGATTCATGAAACATTACAGATTTTGAACAGCAGATCTTCTGAAGTTAAAAACCTGTTCAAGTTTTTTCTTGATCTGGGTGGAAATATGAAGGAATTTAAATATTAGCTCCCCAAATATTGCAGTTTAGTTTAATTCAGTTGTGCATTGCAAATCGTCCTCTGATTATTTTAAAGCATATGTGATTTATTTCAGGACCAACGCTTATATTAGCGCATGAATCGATTGGGAAGCCATGTGTAAACAAACTATTATTCCAAATCAATCATATTCAGTAGCTCACTACTCTTGACCAAACTTGACCCAGAGAACTGTGGGAAAGTGTTTTGAATTCCAATGCCATATGAATAAACCCTTCTGTTAGTTTCATATTTCATTATACCTGAACCTCTAGGTGAGTCGAGTCCCGGGATTTGTGAACTGCCTTGGGACCTATGGGCAGGATAGTGGGTAAAATGTCCCTTGTCCCACAAGATGGTGTGGTATTTTTCTCATTTTAGGCCCAGATGTGAAAAATAAACCACCTGTGTGCACAAGATGTTTGCAGATGGTTTTGTTTTCAAGCTGATCTGAGATTACTTACTAGTCTCATAACATTAAGTAGTGGAGTGAAATGAACTAAAGCAGGTTCAAGCACAGCGTTCCTGTGATAAAGCCACATTTCTGCTCCTGTTTTTGTATTTAGCTGTATATGAAAGCACTTTCTGAGACGTGCATGATGATTGTGAGGCTAATGTAACAGGAGCCACTGTGTTCAGAGTTGTGAAGTATGAGCAGTTTTGCATTGATTTGATTTTAAAGAGGAAAATAAAAGAGGTGACGTGTGTAATTTCCACACTTCAGAGTTATTTAGGTTTCCATTGGTTAAGCCAGTCTGACTGTTTTAAGCTTGCTTGGGTGCTCAAATAACTTAATACACACATAATATTACATAATATTAAATTATGTTGTGATTTTAGCGTGTGGGTGTTCCCAAGTGCATTAAATTCAGTGGAATGAAGTGTCAACTATTAAAAATCGTCATTAATTTAAATAATGCTGTCAAAATTAAATATAAGCATCAGATGAAAAAGTTAGATGAAAGATGATGAAAAACGTTAGTCTTGGCAACTAACTGAAATGTATACATATAAAAATATATAACACATAAATAAGTTGAAGTGTAAACTAAAGTAAATTAAAAAAATATACAAATTTTAAAATATGAATCAATCCTATAATAGTATTAATAAAAACTGGACTGGCATCGAATTGAAAAAAATGATTTTAGCGTGTGGGTGTTCCCAAGTGCATTAAATTCAGTGGAATGAAGTGTCAACTATTAAAAATCGTCATTAATTTAAATAATGCTGTCAAAATTAAATATAAGCATCAGATGAAAAAGTTAGATGAAAGATGATGAAAAACGTTAGTCTTGGCAACTAACTGAAATGTATACATATAAAAATATATAACACATAAATAAGTTGAAGTGTAAACTAAAATAAATAAATAAAAAATACAAATTTTAAAATATGAATCAATCCTATAATAGTATTAATAAAAACTGGACTGGCATCGAATTGAAAAAAATTGAAAACCCTGTTTGCTGCTGAACATTTACAACATAGTTGATACAGAAATGTTACATTATGTTGTTACAGTTGTTACATGATGTATCTTTACATGTCTGTATAAAATCGAAACAGGGCTGTTCTGAGCTCAAATCCATTTTTTTGTTTATTTATAATTACTGCAATTTGGCTTCCTTGCAGAAATTGCAACGCATTGTTTGCAAATAGAGAACAAGTCGCTTTATAGCGCAGCATCTGGAAGACATTGTCACTCACTAAAGGGAATGTGTTCCATATGTTGACTGCAATACTGTCTTTGTGCTAAAGTTGAACCTAAAGACTGATCCATAAGATTTATTTCTTGAATTTGTAAGGCTAAATGCAAAGAAATCATCTGCACCTGTGTTCTTTGTGTCTTTCTGGCTGTACACACATTCATCCTCTGCGGCATTGTTGAATGGCAGCTGGTATGAGCTCAACTTTATTGATTCTTGTTCTTGCACTAATGTGGCTGGACGGGTTTTAGTTGGTCCCACATGTTGCAGAGATCTTAACATCCCAAAACAGCATTATGAAAGTCAGCAAGCATCTCCTGGAGACAAATATAATCCATATAAAACAATCTCAGTTGTTTAGGAGTGTTTATAGTTATATAATAATAAACATGCATGCACCTTAGTACTGTCAAATGACTTTCAGAAAGCCTTTCGGACAATGCATCGGCGTTCAGCAGTAGAGCCAAGCAGCTCCACAGAAGGATGTGGTGGAGAGACATGAAGGTGAGCCTCTATCCCGATGGCCTTAGTTGTTAAGGTTGTTGTTGTGTAAAATCACTCTTTGGCTTCAGAAACTATAACATTTTCCACATTAAATATATATCATTTTCCTGAAGGTGTGCCTTTAGTCACATTGTACACTATATCATTTTTGCCTTCGGTTTTCTCTTCTATCCCTAGATGAAAATGATTATAGCGTTGGTGGTTGTCATCCTTCTCCTCATCATAATCAGTAAGTCCACTCCAGACACACTTCTTCATGTTTACAAGAATTTAACCATATCCTGATTTTGCATCTTTTTGCTCTTTT